TGTTCTCCCTGTGCTTGTGTGGGTTTCCTCCGGGTACTCTAGTTTCCTCCCTCCCAAAAGACATGCTGGAAGGTTAATTGGCTCCTGTTTAAATTGGCCCTTGAGGGCAGGGACTGATCTGCTGAGTAAATTGTCAGCGCTATATAAATACTAATAATAAATAAAAGCAAAGCGGTGGGATTGCCAAAAATTGTGCATAGACACAACAGAAGAGATTACATTTTTCATGATCGACTAGTGAATGGTGGCAGGGTTTGAAGCATATTGGAAGCGGATATATGAAAAAGGTTATATAATACTAAACATATAGAATGGTAGAGGAGAGAAAAGAGGGTAAGATAGAGAAGGGGAGAAAGACAGAAAAAAAAACTGAGTAGATTTTTGAATGACCTGAATTTTTCCTTATAAATTGATGTGATCTGCCATGAATCCCTCAGTTTAGAAATCTATGGAATCACAATTCATAAGTCATGAGGATAAAAAATGGTCACTGATGTGCCTGACTATGAAACTGATTCAGTGATTCAGTCATCACTACCTTTTTTAATATGATATTATTATTCTGCTGGGCAAATTTGTAATTGGATTTATAATCTGGGTTACCACCAGAGAACAGTCAACTCTGGCCCTAATGAATAATAATAGACCAGTGTGCATGCCACAAGCACACAGCCTGTGTTTACATATATGCACTTTCCATGTGGTGCAGCTGCAGTTCTGGGTCAGGTTTTGCATGACAAGCAATTTACTTTCACCCTGAACCTTCTTTTAAAAGAAATAAAAAAAGCTGCCATTGATAAATCCTTGAGGAAAATGCTGTTTGCATGAATTTTACACTTTCTAAATCACAGACCAAGTACATATGAAGTGAAGTCAATGTGAAATCAGAACTCTTGATATGCATAATTGTTTTGGGTCAGAAAATCAGAACATATTGATGCTACTGTATCAGCATGACAGCCAGGCACATAGCTACGTCAGAACAAGAAGTCAGTAATGGAAGCTTCAATATTTTCCATGGTGTAAGTTTCCTATAGATGGTGTAAATATGTATGAACTTTACCACTAAAATAAGCATGCACTTTAAATCATTTATGACATTGATTAATAACAGGATTATAATTATACAGGATAAAGACTTTATCTAACTGAATCCTGCAAGCACAAAGGTAAATGTTATCTTTTTTTAATCACATGATGTGTTACAACATTGAGGTGCTTTTGCGTTTTAGAGGATAATATTATAATTAATGGTGCTTTACTTGACAGATATAAGACAACAATGCTGCTGGCTGGCTCTGTGTTGTTCCTTGTTCTCAGTTTATCTGCTACCTGTAATGCATACAACCCTGGAGTAAAGGTCCGAATGACACGAAATGTCTTGGAAGAAGGTGGGTTCTTTTGCAAGTCCTTATTAATGTGCATCATGTTTACTTTACTGCCCTTTGCCATTTTTATTCTTTAAAGTGAACCTATGGCCAGGCTATAGACAATCAATTGTTTACATATTCTTAGCAGGCAGTAAATAACTTTTCAAAGCAAGCCCTACACTGACCTCTGTAGCTGCAGGCACTGTGGAGCAATTAATCCTCACATTTCTCAGCAGAAATCCCCCTTTTTATAGTTATCTACAAATATACCACTTTGTTTTATCTCTTACTGGAGAGCTTACATTTGCTGGACTCTCATCCATTTAGAAAGCCCTGCAGGGAAGGCCCATCCAGGAAAGCACTGCTTTCGGACATACAGTATATACAATACTGAGCAAGTTGCCTGAAGCACTCTTCCTCAAACATCTATACATGAGGAGAAGGGAGAAGATACTGAGATGAGAACTCCTGGTAGAGATATGGGAGGTAATATGGTCCCATACCCACAGAAGTTCCATTTGTATGGCGTGTAAGGAAAATATTTACAAGATTCTAAAATTGCACTCAATATACCCCACAGCTAGTAACCTCTGCTAGAGACATAACTCAGCAGTGGACTCTTTATATCTCATCCCTTTGTCTTGCCCTAAAATATCATCCTTGTGGAAAGAAGTCAATAATCTATTATTTGAACTTGATATATGTTCGGTAAACCTAGATCAACTAACACTTCTACTGGGACAGCCATTGACAGGCTAGAAAAGAACCTGAAGAGATTCCTATATCATGTTCTCATTGCATAAATGTTGAATTATTACCAAATAGAAACAGAAAACCTCCTGGACCACAGCGGATGTTGCCTCTAAGAACAAAGATGTACAATTGATGGAAAGCTTGGCAGCAAGACTACATAACACTCTGGAGAAGTTTAATGCTATGGGAACATGGGGCACCTATTTGATCCAAAATAAGCACTGATTTCTATTTACAGATCAGATACTGTTGTGTGCATTGGATGGCTCAATACCCGACTCTCACCTTCTATTCTAAATCTTACATATCCCCTCTCTCCATACATTTTGTTTTCTTATGCATCTGTCTCCCTCTCTCCTCTCAATCCCCATCCCTAACTTTACTCCCTTCATTAAGGCCTAAACGCTAAATTTTCATCAGACGATACCAATATTATAATATGAAGACCTTCCATCATATTGCTAATCTTACAGCATTGGTGCAGGGGACACCTCAGTTTGCAGGACTTTTCAGGTACCACGTGACAGAAAGAAAAAAAGGCCATCTTTTCGTTTTTTACATGTTTGCTTTATGGAAATCCAGATTTTTAAACATTTATGTCAATGTTCTCAAAGGATATTTCATATTTGAGATTTGTCTGTGGTGCAGCATATGTAATTGTATGACAGACATTTCCATTCTCCTTTGTGATTTGAAAACCTAAATAAACATGAAAATTCCCAGCAGAAGGACTGAAAATGTTCAATTCGTTCTTTTGGAAGCTTAGCTCTCTCTGCTCCCCTATACTGTTATGGCTGGCAGCCTGGATCTTCCATATTTGTCTCCACTCAGACCTTTCAGTGTTGGAATCCTTAGGCTTTGGAGGTTCCATGCCCTTCCTTGGTACCCTAACTAGGTGGTCATGGTCTTGGACTGGGTTGTGTGTGCTAGATAAATCTTGATGGTGGAAGGGTTTTTCTAATATACAAAACCCAGTACTGAGAACACATTAAAGTCCTACTGCTCTTCTCGAATAAAATAAAAAAAAGCAGTCCCACAAAAGTAAAAAAAATGCTTTAGCACCAGTTAAATTACACTCAGTATCGTGCAATTCACTTCCTGTCAAAACCCAGGCCGCCATAGACACATCCACTGAGTGCATATGAATACACTGGCCTGTGGTTACAGTCTTAAGATTCACAGTCTTTTGACTGAATTGTGTAATTGGGCCATATTCCATGACACACTTGTTTCCGGGTTTCTGTGTCATCACTCTTCCTCCAGGATAGACAATAAATTAACATTGTAACCTCTGTCCAGTAAATTGAGAGTGTAAGAAAGCAGTTAAGTACAATCGCTTGTTATCTATTGCCTACACTATTGCAATGCCCTTTTTATTAGCCTACCTTTTCACCGGCTATGCCCCATTTAGTCTACCATGAATGCTTCTGCTAGACTCGTCCACCTTACCAACCCCCCCACCCACCACCAATTCATCCACTGGCTTCCGCTAGCCCAACACATACAATTCAAAGTACTAACAACAACAAAAACTCTGTCCCAAACTACGTGACCAACCTCATCTCAAATTATTACCCAAACTGTCTATTCTGCTATCTCCTAGTTTGTCTGCTCTTCGGCGAGGCCTATTCCACCATCTCCTAAAAAATGTCCTTCTACTATCTCAGTCAGCTTATTCCTCACAGTTATTGCCTTTTGTATCACCTACCTAGACTGGAAGCTTTCACAAGCAGGACCCTCCTAACCCCCTTGTATTGAATTGTATTGTAACTTTTCTGTCTCCTTTTATTTTGTAAAGTGCTGTGCAAACTATTGGCAGTAAATATATTCGGAATAATAATAACAACCAGGAAGTAATACAGTGAGCTATCTTACTGTGCAGAAATTATTTAGTAATCTGTATATGAAATAAAGTCATCAAAATTTGGAACAGCAGCCAAAACAAAATGCAAGAGTTATAATAGAAACTGTCAATGTATACCTACTGAAAATATGCTATAGAATTCCTTAAAAGTGCATGCCTAGGCATTACCCAAATTTACCCTTAAACTCTGCTCTCTCCCTATACAATATTTTTCTTTTACAGTGAAGGGACAGATTCTAGAACCTAAATTCCTATTGATGTAGCCCCCCCCCCCCAGAACTACATCTCCCAAGAGCCCTTTCCCTACACACAGTGTGTATGTAGGCTCTTGGTAGTCAAAGCAGCAGAAATGTTCTGCTGGAAAATATACGGATGTATTTATGTGGAGAGCTGGGGACAGGTGGAGGTCTGTAGTCCAGCAGGCATGGCTGATAACGCTGGTTGGAATTTCAGAGCAGAAAATGCCCTGAAACAGGAGTTTAGAAACTCACTGTATTTCTGGTAGATCTGCAGGTATTATTCTGCACTTGCAGTGTTTTTAAAGGGACAAAGCATGGCAAAATGTGCAAGATGTATTGCCTATTTAATTCTTTTTTATTTTACTGTGCCCCGACATACACCTTAAGGGAGGATTCTAGTTTATATATAAACTTCCCTTCCTCTTTTGTTTCTTTCACATATACACAAGAAGGAGCACCTATTTTCAACAATTGTTGGGAGGTGGGGGTGGAAACTGAAATTCTAGATTCTCCACCTATTAGACAAATCTAGTATTGTGCCTCTAGCCAGCTCTAATGTCATCACCTTAAACTAATAAAATATTCCTCCTCTATCAAATGTCTATAGCACTTCCTGTATCATGTTTCTATACAAACATTACTTTCTTACAGCAGAAATCCATGCTAACAGAACACTGTGACAATGGCTATAGACCTCGGAGAATTATTGGACGTGTGCATGATAAATACCAACGTTATATTGTTCATAATGAATTTATGATTTCTTTCCTGCAGGTGTCCAATATTTAGTTGATTCCATGATAGAAGATATCTCCACATACAATCTCCCAGATGTGAATGGAAGTGCAGCAATGGATTCTGATGAAATGACATATGAACTATCAAAGTAAGTGGACTGTATGTTGGGGCAAATAGAAATGTTTAGCTATGATTTATATTTACAATTATATTTATGCTGAAATCTAGGCAGATATAAAAGACACATGTGAATCCTGCTCTGTAATCATTTATATATAATTAATATCAACATCAGCAATAAACTTTGTACAGCAAACTCCATAACAAAGACAAGAGGCCCCCACCTAAAACTGGTGGAGAAAAGATTTAAGCATAAGGGGCGTAGGGGATTCTTTTCAGTTAGAGCGGTTAAAGTCTGGAACTCGCTGCCACAAGCAGTGGTATCAGCTGAGAGTATTGAATCATTCAAAAAGCATTTGGACAACTTCCTCAGAGACCGTAACATAAAGGGGTACAGGTACCCTTAAAAACAAGATCACACAGGGACTCGTACACACACATACACATACACATGCAGAATCACATACACACAATAGGTTGAACTTGATGGACCTGTGTCTTTATTCAACCTCAAATACTATATAAATGTATTTTTTACATGCAAGCAGTGTGAGTACCAAAAATTTACCTGGTATGAGCTGTACAGCAGGGTTGGAGTGGGAGAGGAAGAAGCAGTACAGTGAGCCATCAGTTTGTGTGCTGACAAGAAGCATGCTGATAGTAAGGGAAAGCAGAGTGACTCTCTCCCCCTCGTTTGTATGTCCCTTGGCATCCTCATGTCTAATGCAGGTGAATGGACCTGCATTAGACGTGATGACGTTAGCGGGGATTAGTCTGGGGGAGAAGAGGCTGCATGGCCCAATCTAGCAGCCAGCAGAATTGAGGATCAGTTAAGTATATCTTCTTTAATCCAGCTCCTAGACCATAATGAGCACCTAACATTTGCAGTGCAGTGGGTAGCCCCAACTGCAAGGGTTAATTTTGTTTATTCCAGGAGTTCCCTTTCAATGTTTTCATGATTCACACAGCTTTCACTCAAGATTTACACATTTTTTAAACACTCCTGAAAGTATAAAATATTGAAGACACAGCAGTGCTTCAGTGGAGCGAAGGCAGGAGACACGGGCCACCAGAAAAATGAGAATGATACCTTTTCCTTTGCATGGCCCTGCTTTTAATTTAGGTGACAACAGTGTTCCTTTAAGTGCAATTGTGCTTTTTTTGATGTAGGTTGGGGGCTACTATAATTATCTTGTGTTGCATCTCATTACTTTGTATCTGTATATTTCAGCATTCAGATTGTGGATTTGCAGTTTGGGAACGTTTCCTCAACGTTTGTCCCAGGAACAGGAGTTCAAATTTCACTAAAACGTGGAAACGCTGTAATCAATTGCCAGTGTGATCTGGACAGTTGGCTAATGTAAGTTGATATTCCTAAGGCTACATTATTTAAATCTGTAGTCAACTCCACTCGAAATCAGTGAAATCAGTATTTTTAGTTTGTATGGTTGTTGACAAGTTAAAGGGGAACTATGGGGTTAGGGCTTTTCCCCATAATTCTCCTAAGGGTAACGTGAGGAAACAAACTAGCGTCCTCCCATCACCCAAAGCTCAGTATACCGCGAGCTACAGCTTACGATATACTGAGACGCCGCAGCCGGAAGGGATCCCGACAATTCTGTCTGGATCCACCCAGCTGTGTGACAGCTGGCTCTCCCTATCTAGTGACAGAGCCAGCTGTACCCGCCCCCTACCAGGTCCATTCCGTCAGTCAGCGCTGGAGGATCGGACAGGGGAGGGGGGGAATCCCTGCAGGGAGCCGTGAGTGACAGTCACGGCTCTCTGCACGGACAGATCGAGAAGTTAACGAGCGCCGGTATATGTTCTCTCACTTCCCGATCTACTGAGCCGACCTGTGACAGTTTCATTGTCACAGGTCGGCTCAGATTATGAGGCTGGGTGAAAATCACTCACCTCATAATTCTCCTTTAAAGAAGAATTCCGGGCAACAATTATCTGAACCCTTGCAGTGGATCTACCCCCACACTGCAACTGTTAAGTGCTTATTTTCATCTAGGAGACAAAATAACGCTAAAGATATACTCACTTGTACCTTGCAGCCGGCTGGCTGTTAGACTGATCCCTGCAGCCTGTCTTCTCCTCCACTCCAGCGATGGAATGTCGCTGTTCGTCCTCACATCCTATGACTCATGAGACCTTAGACTGCAGGAGCGGAGGGAGAGAGGCTGCAGGGACTGGTCTAACAGTCATCCGGCTCAAGGTTCCGGTGAGTATACCTTTGTTATTTTCACACCTAGATGAAAACAATCACTTAACCCTTGCAGTGCTGGGGTAGCCCCACTGCAAGGGTTCAGTTAATTTATTTTTAAATTACATGTTGTCTTTTTATATCTATGGGGAACTGTAATAGAGAGACCTTTCCAAAACTACTGCCATGAACTCCAGCTCCATCCAGTACGTAACTATAGCCACAGCAGCCCAGATGGCTGCTATGGGGCCTGGAGATGGTAGGGGTCCCCATCATGTTGTTTGGGCAAATTAAACCTAGAACACATGAAGATAATACAGTATTGTTTCATTAAGGGTTGGAGTGGTTGCAGTGGAAGACTACTCTAATTCCCTGTAAAGTGTACAGTGTTGAGACGACTTCAGATGCACATAGGAGGGGCCCTATTAAATTTTTGCTATGATGCCTGAAGAACTGTAGTTACATCCCTGGCTCCATCCAACAGTCACCATCACATCAAAAAATCATGTTGTTGTGCCCGCTCTCACTTTGATTTTCCTAAATGGAAAATAAAAACTTGAAGTGAAATTGAAGCCATTTTAGTTTTAGATAGAGTGGAAAGGAAGTAGAATACCTGTCAGGTGTTTATTGCTGTCCGTGTTAGGTAAATTCACCCGGTTTATTTGTCCTGGTGACCATTATCACTAAAAGTTAAAGTGAAAGGAAATCACAAATGCTGGGTTGTCATGGGAACAGAAAATAGATGGTAAATCTTCCAATGGAGACACTAGGTCAATAGCTCACCAGGGACGTCCCTCATTTTGGAGGGATTCCCTCTCACTTCCTGTTCTGGCTATGGGATAGCAGGTGAAGGTAACCCCACCCTAGTGGAACACAGATGTCAAAAAATAAAAAGCTGATGGGTTATAAATATCACTATACAAAGCTAAAATAGTTCTGCCTTCATTTCTACATTAATTAGCAGTCCAGATCAATATGGAAAATCTCAATCTTTGAAATAGAATTATTAGATAATCAAGTTTTCATTCTCCTAAATACTGGCATTCAGCTCTCTCTGATCTGCAAAGAGTCATGCCGATTTGGAAATGCAAATTGATCTGCATGCATATGTTCAGGAGAGAGAAAAAAAATGTAACCAGTCATTTGGCCTGGCTTCAA